AGGAAGATATCAGTACAACCTTACACTGTTAATGGGAGATTTGCAAAACCAAAACTATAACCAGAGCAGATTCTGATCAACTGGTTTTAGTTTAGCACTACTCTGAAGTAAAAGTGATTACTTCTGAATATCTATTCTGTGTGTATGAATAGAACTGTGTATGAACAGAACTGCACCTCAGGGAATTCAAATAGAAAGATCATTTCAATGCCCACCTTTGTCATTTTTTGACTGGCTGCAAAAAAAGACACCAACATTGCTATTTCAATGAAAAGTGATCTAATATTTTCCATGGGAACACACCTATTAGTAAACACAGTATAAACATTTACAGAGTTGGATTGTTCTACTCAGAAAATAGTATCTATATGCTATAACTGTTCACTTCCAGCATCAGAGTCTCCAGGCTCTTTTTGTGATTATAAAGGACTTATGTGGGGAAAAAAGATTTATTTATTTTTAATGAAATCCAAAGTTATGTTGCGTTCTGTGTAGTAATCCAATGAAGAGTAATAATAATGACTAATTGTACTTGTAATGCTTGTGGAGGTTTGTAGACTTATTGTACTATGGGACATGTGGCCACAAATTATGGTTCTTTGAGGTGCTGTTGTTTTTAAAACTGCTTTGCAAAATCCCATTGTTGGACCGTTCTGAAATAAAATAGTTTGCTATAAATTTTAAATTTTTTTGATGAAACACCACATTGCTTTTACTAGAGAGCTGTGAGAGCTGAGGCTAGAACATGGTTTGAAATAAAACTTGACATGAATTGGCCTTCTTTTAATTGCTGCTACATTTAGATTCCATATTACTTTACTGTTGGGCCTACTTTGAAATGGGAACTTCTGATGTTTCTGAAAATGACTGTAAACCACATTTTCCCCCATGCAATACTTCTGTATGTTGTAGTTAAAATATTGTGTGACTTCCTGATGTGGTAAGTAGTGATTAGTTGCATGAGCTATGACAAGGAGCTGATTGATATGTGGGAATCTAGCAAACTTAGCTTTAGAATTAAAATGGAATTAAAAATGGAATAAAATACCACTTTAGAATTAAAAATGGAATAAAATACCACTTACTCTTATTTTTTGTTTCAACATTTAAGTGATGGATAATAGGAATGAAACCTTAAAATAATTTTCCTTTTCCACCTGTAACCATGGAAGCCTGTAGCAGAAAACTTTAATTTTTCACTTCTGTCTGTGTATGTATGTAATCAGTCTGTACACTGTACATGCATAACACCTTGCTTTCTGGTGTTGCAGGCATATTGACAGGCTTGCATCCCTTCACAAACTATGCTGTAACCCTAACTGCTTGCACTTTGGCTGGCTGTACTGAGAGCTCGCATGCATTGAACATCTCCACTCCACAAGAAGGTAAAGTAATTTCAAAGGTCTTGACTTCCACATTTCAGTCATGAATAATAAAACAGGAGAAGAGCTAAATGCTGCAAAGCCATTTGCTGGAAAACCCCAACCTAATTTGATGACAAAGTGCATTGCCAGACCATAATTGCTCCATTTTTTGGGGGGGTGTGAAAATGAATCAAACTCCATACCCTTTAATGACATGCATCTTTAATAGCTGTAATGCAGATTAATGGGCTTTTTAATTGCTGTTACATTGTTCATGCAAGAGCCTTGTCATTAATATGAAGCATCTGAAAGATTAATGAAAGCTTCCTCATTTTACTATGGCTCAGAAGTAAATCTAGAGACAGTCTGACTAAAAAGAATTGATTGTATGGCACAGTATGAAATTGAGAATCAAACGGTTGATTTCCATGGTTTCTTTTAAGCACTAAACACCAGCAATGGGCAACAATTATTTCAGTGTGATGAAACCTCCAAATGTCAATTGAGTTATTTATTAATCGCTGCTCAGATTTTCCCTTTTTTTTCCCTAAACACTTTTACATGTTGTTGTGCTCTAAGTGAAAGGTTGTGAGTGTAAATTAATGCTTCCTATGCTTACATGAAGAACTAGGGCAGGGAGAAAGAAAAAATACGTTAATTCTGACCTTAGAGACTAGGCTGATAAGTAATGCATATCAATTACTAGAGAAAATGCTCCAAAAATATCAGTGACATATCTAACTTCATTCTCAATTGAACATAAAGTCCACATCTCCTGGTTTGATCATTCTACAGCCATGTTAATCCAGTTAAAATAATCAGTTAGTCCAAATCTGCACCAGTAGAATAATGAGGACTTTGACATGTACTTATTGGGCAGTACTTAATCTTCCATGATGCAGAGTAGTTTTCAAAATTCCCTCCCTCCCACAGTTCTTTGTTTTATCTTTTCATGTAAACAAGGTAGTAATACACTACCAATAATGCAAATAAAATTTTAACATGACATCACGTGAATTATAGCTGTAATAATTAAAAGAATGCTGGAGTGTTGAACTGCTGCCAAAGCAGGTAGTTGTGCAAGGCGTTGTCCTGATGAGGACAGTACTGAAGATTGCAGTCTAACATTGCTAGAACAGAGTTGTGATGTGACCATGTTAACAACTGCCAGCAGCACCAATCAAATCAAAATCCAATTATTGCCTCTTGGATGTTGAAAATAAACTGACTGAGATTGTCTGGTGGCATTATCCATGAAAGGGTGCAGCCTCTGACAGCCAAATAGTTAATGGACCTTGTGACAGAAACATGAAATACAGTATTTGTATATTTCTTTCTGTTGTAACATAGTAATTAAAAATAAATTGTTTGTGTCTTCTTTTCTCTGCTTAGTGAACAAAGCAGGAATCCTTACACGTCATATTGGAAAGGCTTAGGCAAAAGTAGATATTTTCCTTTCCTCCCCCTGCCCCCCTAAGAGATCAAATAAAGCCATAGGGAACATGTGTTTTAACCCTCAGAAGAATTGAACAAAAAGTCAATATGTGTGGAGTTTCTATTTTCGGATGCTCTTGTTGCATGCTCTTAGTAACAATAAATTGATGATACAGAAGACAGACACCATATCACACCCTCCAGCTATCCCTGTTTCCCTATTGAAACATTCATTACTTTATATTGTTTTCACATTGCCAGCCACTGCTAGTTATTGTTTTAAATTGCTAGCACAGAGCTTGTAAATTACAAAATATTCCTCCCAGACTAAGGCCCAAGCTCTGTTCCCTTTGCAATATTCAGTGGGATTGCTTGTGCTTCTAATATATAACTCACTACAACCGTGAAAGAACTCAACTTTTAAATTATTATCCATTTCCAACTTCCAGTATATTATATACATAAAATCTATGCTAAACAAACATTACTAAGTGTATTGAATTATGAAAAGTCTGAAATACGGGATAGTGCCTAAGAACACATCACCTGCATTTGTGATTAGAATGATCACTTTGTAGTTAGGAATAAAAAACATGAAGGAAGAGAAAATGATTTGTATTATAAAAAAGAACTGCACTAAAATCATGTACTCTTCACCTTGCTCGGTGTTATCAAGCTGGAAACATAAAATTATAGGAGCATAATTATTCTCCTAAAAGCAAAGAGTATATCATCATCTTTCATGGAAGCTTCTGTTGGGCTAGGAATCCTCACATAAAATAGAAGACTTTGCAAAATGCTGATACGGTGCAGACATAAAATCTCTTCTGAAATTTCAACTTGATCAAAAATCATTCTGGTAGTAGTTGCTCACTGAAATTCTTTATTATTTGTGGAAATACAATATAATATAATGTTATACATTTTTTTCACCAGCCCCTGAAGATGTGCAATCACCCATAGCAATATCCTTTCCCACGTTCTTGTTGATGAGCTGGAGTCCACCGAAAACACCAAATGGTATTATTACCCAATATACTTTATATATGAATGGAGTACCAATTTACTCTGGAAATGAAACTAAATACGTTGTAAAAGGTGAGTTCTCTGCTAGGTAGCATGTCAGATGTGAATGTCGTAGTTGCTATGAATATTTGTATGACTGACTCCTTCTTATTTCAGAGGAAAAGAAAAATAATTTTAAAATGGACTGGATGCTCTTTAGAGCCTGATTGGCTCCATTTTTTCAAGAATCTTTCACAGAACTCTTTGTTGGGACTTGCACAAATTAACACCACTGTGGATGATGTAGCTAAATTTTGTGCTATATTGTCCTCTTTCATAGAACTTGAGTCATCTTCTTAATAGTTTTATAGCATCTTGATCTCATACCCTCTAGTTCTCAAAGCAAATAAACTGTAAGCTGTTGATGACAAGATAATATGTACAGGTTTAGTAGCTTTTCTTACTGTCTTCCTTAAATATTCTTAATTTGAGAGACATCACATTGCTTACTTGAATAGCCCATGTTTAATTCATGTGTTAGATGTATAAAATAATGATCTGTTTTCTTCTGGCAATAGTTATGCAACATGCCAATAGCCAAGTTATTCAAGTTATATCAGTCCTCTTAAACTATTACATAGAAGCTAAATGCCTGTTATTTGGCAGTACAGTGGAGCATGTTAATCTGACTTCCTATTTTAATGTAATTCATGTAGTTTGATGAAGTATGCAAATTATTTGTTCTGACATTATTCAAACAATAGTAACAAAATAAAACAAAATTTAAAAAAACCCTTGAAAATATGGAGCTAGAAGTATCATAGCACGGCATAAGCACTATTCTGGACTCATCAGAATTTCTATATGTTAGTAGGTACAAGTAAAAATAATGCATTTCATTTTGGACACCTTGGGGAAAAAGGGTACCAAGATCCTACTTTCTTTTTAATGTAAGGCCTTAAAATTCAAAGCCATTTCTGCATGTTGAGTTAGTATAAAACATATTTAAAAATTCATATAGTTCAAATTTCTTTGCCTTGCACAGGCCATAAGCTACTGGTGTGGTGGGTCAGTTTTGACACTGAAAAATGAATCCAGTTAGAGAACCTCCTGAAGGCTGTTGATGATCGCTATAATAAATAGTGCACACTTTAAGTCAAACTTTTTCATTCTGTATTCAAAGGTAATGGATTTTTCGTAACCATAGTAACCTTAGTGTATTTCTGGATAAATACATGAGGTATATACATTCTGGTTTTATTTTTGAATATAAACTACCACATTATGTATTACTAATAATATGAAAAATAGGGTATGGGTTAGCATAATGACAGCTCAAACTAGTGTGCATTTTTCTTCTGCAAAAAAAATAAGTATTTATCAAAAGTGTAGGTTCAATTAATTTCTCTCCCATCTTCCCAGTTTTCTGCTGTTCTTGCAGTGCCATTTATCTTTTTTTTTTTTGCAAGATTTCCATTAATCTCTCATTGCCATGTCATACACCATTCTTAAAAATTTTGAAGTGCAAATAGTTGTGCTTCCAAATCTTATTAAAATCATTACTGAAAGTTCATCACAGGTAGTTTTACTGATATGTTCATCTGCAACCTGGTTATAAATGTGCAAGCAATGTAGAACATTCGAGGGAGTGTTCACCTTAATGCATTTTGGTTGGTTGGTTTTTGATTTGTGCCTGATCATATTCTGAATTATAGCCAAAATGAATGCTTATTGATAGAAGTTATGGTCAAGTAACATTTGTAATTATTCTTTGAAAATATAGAAAAGTATAAGTTAAAAAGTGTCAGGACTTGATTCCTCATGTTCTACCTCTGAATCTTGAGTGATATGTCAGAATACATTCAGCTGAAATAGTCAAAGGAAATCTCACCTGGTTCATAAGATTCCTAGAGAAGCTTTTGTTGCTTTTATTTAGGAATTATTTATTTATTTATAGAAATTTTATATGTTTGGTCCTATTGAGCATTTCATGACTTTGGTTTCAATTAATTTTTAGGCAGACATAGTTATAAAGGGAACAGAAAATCTTCAGAAGAGGAGGCTGGTGAATCAGATTGTGTTACTGTACACAGTACAGCGCAAGAGCCTCTCTTGCCTACCATTGTGAACATGGTGTGGAGATCAGTCTGTTTGCTTTGGATCCATTTTAGTTAGCTGCCAGTTTCTCACTCTGCCTGAGGGAGAAGTGGCAATGTGAGCCAGCAGGCTGGGATTTGGGTCACTAGAAATCCTAGTTCTTCTGAATCAGTTTTATTCAAGATCTTGCTTAGATCAACGTATATCTTTAATTTGACCTGATTTTGCTTCCTTTCACAGCCCAGTATTTTCTACTTTGTTGTCTAGATTTAAAAGAGGTATAACTTTTTTTGTGTGTGTTTCTTTTTTTTCCCCCCATCTCTCTCTCCAAAGATTATGATCTTATGATGAAAAGTCTTATGGCTTTTGACTTTCTAGTGTCATACATGTCTTAGCGTTTCCCATATTATTATCCTTTTCTTTTTAGCATTTATGCTAGTGATGTTGGTGATTTATTGCCTCAATATAATATGCTATTGACCCCAGAGACACGAAGTTCATTGTCTCTGAGATCTGTTTCCTATTTATTCACCAAAATGGTTTTCCTAATTTAATAACTATATGACTTAGATCCTGACCAGTAGTCTATACCAGAAACTCATAGATTCTCTCTGTGTTTTTTTGAAGTGCTGTATCTATTGAAACGTGGTGGGTTTTTAAGCCTTTATTTTTAGTACTTCACTGACTTTTGTTTCAGACCATGGAAAGTGCAACCAGTTTAGGCCCATTCTTAATTAATCCATAACTTGAGGAGGAATATGTTTTCTCAACACCATAATTGCAAATATATTGTTAACTTAATTTCTGATCTTCACAGTTGTTGAGGGCTTGAAATACTCATTGATTTTCATGGAAATTCAAGTGTTTGTTTCCTCTAGGGGTTGAGCTGTAATTAAAAAGGAAACCCTTTAAAAGCACATATGGCAAATGTACACTTTACCACATTGAAAAGGGAGACCCATTAGGCATCCATCATCCATTAGTGCATTTAAATATTCTTCTCTTATTGACAAATTCGGTTTCTGAGTTGTGAGTAATAAAGCACTGAAATGAAGCCAGCCTGCAACACCTTTGTGAACTGTCTGTCTGTGATATTTCTGCTTCCCACCTTTATGTGTTTGGTTCATGCAGCATATGTTCTGCTTCGTCATGCAATCTAAGTTGTACTTCACATCCTATATTCCAGTGAAAACCTAATGTCTGCAATGAATTAGAGCAAATAGTGCAGGATCCCAGGTGGAACTTAAGCTGTGTGAATCCATGCCCCTGTATTGATGTTTTCAGCTCCTCTGTGGGTAAGGGCAAAGCTCCTGTAACCAAGATGAACATCTGCAGCTCAGGAGAGTAATTGCAATAGGGTTCTGCTCCCCAAACCTACATACCTTGCTGTTCTGTAGATGACTAGCAACTGTGGGAAAATGGAGGAGCTTGTACAGTTATCTTCAGAATTCTTAACATATATGTACTGAACTTACAAAGGCTTTTGATTTTAGGAAAATTTGAGTTGATTTTTCCTGTGGAGAGGAAAATATTCTTTCATCCAAACAAACACTCACAGACAAAATTGAAGCTTCTACTTTGAAATGCGGAGATTTCTTAATCTAATTATTTTAAAAGATTTTTTAAATTTAGGCAAGTTGTTCCTTCTTGTCTTATCTTTACTTTAAATATGTCTCAAAAATTCCTACAGGCCTTAGATAAAAGAGGCAGTGGGATGGGTTTTATCCTGAAAAGTATTAGAATTCAGTGACCTGAGCTGGTGGTGCCAATACCACCAGCAGAAAGATGATCTAATAAAAGCAGAATGTTATAGTACAAGAAAAGACAGGGATGATCAGATATGATCCAAATGCCAAAGGTTTTTTTGTTCAGAACCTTATTGTTGTGAAGAAACTTCAGAAAAAAAGATTAGAGCAAAATATTTCTCTATTCTTAAATGCTGAGCATTTGATGGACTAAGAAAAGATGTTCATTACCTAATATGTTTACTAAAGGAAATTACTTTGTAGATACTTTAAAAAACAAAAAAAAAAAATATATGAATCTATCTTTGCACTAAGCTTGGTATTGAGGATCTATGTCAGCATTTTCTGCAGCACTAGGTCAGCTAACTTGACGATGTTAACAAATTGTGTTCATATCATTTTCCTAGCAGAATCTAATGGTTCTCATCATGAATCTTTAAAAGGAAGATATTGTTATTAAGACTCAGCTGTATGAAACTTATTTTTCTCTGCCAACCTGAAAGAAGTGTTTCCAGTTTTTCAGGAAAGAGATCCTGTCAACTATACTACAAGGGCAGATCCTCAACTGAATTAGATGAGTATAGAGTTACCCTGAATTACATGCCCAAGAGTTTATGAAAAAATGTGACAGAGTACTTTGTACCAGGTTTCTTGGCAAAATATTAAAGAGAGCCTTGGAAAAGGTGAGAAAGACCTGTCTTCACAGTTTTTTCTAAGTATGTAAACTAGGCTTTGGCTTATTCAAATTGTTATTTGAACGGAGTGCAGAAAGGCTGATCCTACAAAACCAGGTTAGAATGGGAGCCTTGTTTTCGTGTGAGGAAGAGACAGATGTTTGACATCTGCTCAACCAGGGCTTAACATATCTGAGCTTAAAAAATGATAGAATCCCAAATTAGTACCTGTATTTTTTTATGTTGCTCTACACCAGTAGTGATTACAGTACACCGTATGCACAGCAATCTGCAATTACTGCATTTTACTGGAAAATTGGCAAAGTTTTTTGTCCTTTCTATCCCTAAGAATCCTACTGCTTGTTTTAAATGATAGCTCATGATAATAAAAGCAAAATCCATCATCACTATTGCACTAATTGCCAAAAGAAACAATTTGAACAAGAAAATTCACAGAATTGTATGTAGAAGATAATTGCACCAAGGTGTATCACTGCAAGAAGGTGAACCACTGAGAAGAAAATTCTTACTATGTTAGGTTTAATGTGTAGTTTTTGTGGTTACTTTTCATACAGAT